TTCTAATTGAATCCCTAAATCTCGATCTTTGTATAGATTTGTTTTTAGGTGATTTGTTTCACCTCATAATCTAGACAAATGGCAATTCTTTTTTATATTTTTCATATTTAATTTTTTATTATTTTTATTTTCCTTTTTAAATTTTAAAATCTTAAGTGATCGTCAATAATTAGGTATCCTCACATGAAGAAATGAAGAAATGAACTTATTAATTTTTTTTCATAATCATAAATTTAATGCTATGTAAAATTGTAATTATATTTTTTTTTTATATTTAAAAGTGATTCCTTTGCATTGAGATTTGAGAGTCTAAAACTTCTAATAATATAAGCTTCTCTTGATTAGTAGGTTACTTGTTTTGAAAAGGAAAAAAAGTAAAAAGAGTGTTTTTTAACTTTTTATTTTGATTTACTAGTGTTTGCATTAACATCTTTTAGTGTTTATTTCTTTAAATTACAATTGAAGCATGTCAAATCTTAACAAATTAATAGGAAACCAGTTAGCACTTCCTTCACTAAAAAGTAAAATAATTTTTAGAAAACAATGTAAATATCAAACAAGCACCGATCTTCAACTTATTGATTGAGTCTTATAGCTCATTATTAACCGAAATTTGCAAGATGGAGGAAGGCTTAAAAGGGCATCATCACCACTATCCTCGGTCTCGTTTTTTTTTTTTTTTTTTCCTTCTTTTTTTAAATTTTAGTATTCTCTAGCTTCTACTTAAGTATATCACAATTTAAATAAATTTTTCAATAGAAAAGACATCCTTTTTTATTCTCATTTAATTTCTATTGAATTACTTAAATCACAATTAATATAATATTCTTATTATGTATGTATTGAATTGTAATCTGACAGAATAAAAAAAAAGGTGTTCGCAATTTTTTTTCTTATATATATAAAATATATAACTATTTTACAGCTTCATTGCAGATAACAAGAAATCAAAACAATATTGCTTAAAAGTGAATAGGTGATGCTTTGTAATATATCACAAGAACATGAAGAGAAATACAATTGTAAAGAAAAAGTACATAAGATGTTAGAAAAATCTACTCACATAATTACTGACTTTCCACCCCATCTCGTCCAAATACTGATAGTAGGAATGCCTCCATTGCCTACTAATCACAAGAGGACTTAATAGACTCCAAAATCCAAAAATAAATCCAAGTGCCATGCTAACAAGCAACCAATTCACTTTAATTCCATCCATATCTTTCCCACCACTATTTTTAGTGCTTGCTTCTTCATGAGTAGCTTCACTACAGTTATGTGGTAGTGGAAGGCCACAAAGTTTATTTCCAACAAAGCAAGATGCATTAAAGCTCTGTAGCTGAGTACTTGAAGGAATTTTTCCAGTTAGTTGATTGTCAGACAAGTTCAAGTGGCTTAGAAATGACAATCTGGACATGCTTTCAGGGATTGACCCAAGCAATTTGTTAACAGAAAGATCAAGAGATTCTAGTGAACTCATGTCACCAATATATGGAGGGATCCTTTTGGTGAAATGGTTGTGTGACAAATTCAATGATTGCAACCCTTGAAGCTTAGTTATTTCCCAAGGAATACCTCTAGATAAATTATTATCTGACAAATCAAGGGCTCTTACCAAATTAAGAGTCCAGTCATATTCATAAAATTGGCCTTTCATCACAAGAAGTACACTCTCAATAAAAATTGATGGTGAGTGATATGTAATGTAGTTCCCAAATGAGCCATTTACAGAATAAACCATGGCGCTTAAGTTACTAATGCAACTTGGTAAGCTTCTTGAAAGACTATTATGAGCAACATCCAAGACATGGAGAAAATTTAGTGCACACAACTCTCTAGGTATATGCCCTGAAAACTTGTTTGAACGTAGGCTCAAGATTGTCAGGTATGGAAGATTATGTCCTATCCATGATGGGATGTTCCCAGCCAATTCATTTTCACCAAAATCGAGGGTTTGCAAACTTGTACAATTTCTTATGGATATAGGAATTTCTCCTGAAAGGTTATTTTTACGAAAATGCAATGATTCAAGGTATTGTAAAGTTCCTATGGAGCTTGGAATTTTACCTATAAATCTATTGTTATCCAATACAATGACCTCTAAATTTGGCCACTTGAACCAACAATTTGGTAACTCCTCAGACAAAAAATTGTTGCCAAGATTGAGAAAATACATTTGATTCATTGTTTCATTTGCTCCATGACACAAAAAGTTAAAAAGGGAGCCTGACAAAAAATTATTAGAAAGGTCTAAGTAATGCAAACTTGAGAAGATTTGAGATAATGGATTATTGAAGCTAGAAATAATTGGAAGCAACCCATGAACTTGATTGTGAGCAAGATTTAGATATGTCAAATAAGGAGACAAGTTCAAAAAACAACTAGGGAGAATACATGAGATTCTAGAGTTGGATATATCTAAGAATTGGAGGTGTTTTTGAGAAGAGAGCCAATGTGGAAATTGTGGTCCTAAATGCCAAGATCTTAATGATAACTCTTGAATTTGAAAAGGAGGAATCCAGGCAGGATCTACCTTCAAAATTAATGGGTTCCCATTTGCAATGAAACTTAACAATTTTGTGAGGTTAAAAAAGTGTTTCTCCGAAAGAGTACCCTCCAAAAAATTATGTGAGATATCAACAACTTCTAAATTGGAAAGCTGACCAAATGACTCAGAGAGGTTTCCTTTGAATTTGTTTCGAGAGAGGTCTAAAAATTTTAAGGATGAAAGCTCTCCTATGGATGTTGGTATTGAACCAGAGATTGAGTTTATTGACAAACCCAACTTTCTCAAAATTTTAAAATTCCCAAGTTGGTTTGTTAATTGTCCATAGAGTTGACACTTATACAAGAACAATGACTCTAATTTATTAGAAACACACTTGGAAAAGACTTTTAAGACATCTGATATGTCTAGATTCAAATTGGTACCTGAGAGGGAGAATGACCTTAAGTTGCAGAGATTTCCTATTGACCTAATTGGGATTTGATCTTCAAAACTATTAAAGGATAAGTCAAGTTCAACAACAAAGTTCATCTTTCCTATGTCACTTGAAATTTCACCTTGCAAGAGATTTCTCCTAAGATTTAGAGACTCAAGAGGGGTAAAATTGTACAACCAATTAGGTATTGAGGAATTGAAAGAATTGTATGACAAATCAAGGTGCTTCAATGCAGTCAAATTTCGAAGACCATAAGGGATCAAGCCCTCAATATCATTATCCGATAGATCAAGGGAAATCAAGTTCTTGAGACAAAAAACCCAATTGATCATTGACAAGCTTTGCAAAAAATTCTCAGATAGAGAAAGGGTAGCAAGAGATGATAAATTTACACTTGCAATAGGATGGAACTTATGGGGAAGTTGACATAATGACAAGCGTAATTCTACCATATAAGGAAGTGTATTTAATGCATGAAACCAATTGGAGGCTTGGCTAAGGTTCACATAACTCAAATCAAGGTACTCCAATGAAAGAAGACTAGACAACCAATGGAGAGTCTCAACATGCATGGTAGGCCCATTATAATAATTTTTCCCAAGATCGAGATATTTTAGATTAGAGAGATTCCCAAGATGGTGAGGAATCTTCCCTCCAAAATTCGAAAGGGAAAGGTTAAGATATCTTAAGCTCCTCAAAGAACCAAAAAACTTGGGAATGTGAATTCCTTCAAAACCATTGTTGCTTAGATCCAAATGACTCAAATACTTCAAATGGAGCAGAGAAGGACTTATCTTACCACCCAGCCGTGATCTCATATAAGCCTGATAAGCCTCTTCGTCAAGGTAACCGTCAAATGCAGGTACTCTGAGGTTGATTTCAATGACATGGCCAGTCACGTTGTCGCAGACAATTCCCGTCCATCTGCAACAATCTCCATCGGAATGCCAAGAGGCCAATCGGTTGGTGCGATCCACGATACCTTGCTTGAACTTCAAAAGGGCTTCTTTCTCGCTCTCAATGCAGACCGCATGAACAAAGTTGCCATTGCAGATGCTAATAATGGTGACATTAGTGATTGGAACGAGAAAGGCAAGGAAAAGAAAGATAAGGCGAGCCATTGAATTCTGAATGGGCAAGCAATTAATTTCTATGGAAATGCAAGAGAGGCAATCTGATATTTATATATGTCATTTCCCAGAAATTGCAATGCTATTTCCCTACCCAATTATTATTGCAGTGCACAAACAAACAATAAAAAGAATAATTATTATGTTGTCCTATTGGAGAAAAGAATAAGTGGTCGACCTGTGTATCCTGATGGGCTCTCCACTATAGAAAATAAATGTATGGTGTGGGACGACTTCTACCTAATTTGGGTGTGCTGGATCCAAACCTTTCCACACGCTTATTATTATTATTATTATTATAACTTTTAATTTCACACGCTTTATTAATTTTATGCTAAGTGCGTCAAGATGGATATATTTCTTGTTTTTTTTTTTTAATAATATGTAATTATTTACGGGGTTAATTGAAAGAGGGGGGTAAAGGAATCCATGAGGCTCGAACGGGTAACCCATGGAGGTGAACAGTTCTAATTCAGGTCCAATGCCACTGAGGTGGAGCGGGCTATTCAGATATATTTCTTGTTTGATATTTATAAATTGTTATGATTATATAAAATTTTTAATATTTTTTTTAAATATTAATTTTGTTTGATTTAATTGTTAAGAATATCTAATATTTGTAACCTATTCCTTTATTATAATTGTTAGGTTTTGATTTTTATAAATTTTGTAACTACTGATAACTGAAATTAAAAATTAAAAAGTAAAAATTTGTTTAAAACAAATTTTAACATTGATAACTAAAATATTTACTTATTTAATAGTATTAAAATTATTTTTATTTTTATTTTTCTAATAATCATAAAATAATTACATGTTGCAAAAACACATA